CATTATTTTTGCCATTAAAACTAACGGTTTTCGTCAATTCTAATGACATACTAATGGAAATTGTTAGTGTGTAACGGAGTCTGTATTTATTAGTGTCCACATATATATATCATTCTAAATTCTAATGGATTCCAAACACTTGGTGTATTCAGCAATGTTGAGTAGTATGCCTTTAATTCTAAAGAAAAATCGAAGTTTGTAGTATCAGTACCATGTAAGGAGAGGTGTTGATACCTCAAGGGGAAAAACTGGAAGAAACTAGGTGATTTTGAATTGCAACAAAACCCTTCCACTCATGGTAGCAATTTGTGGACTCCAAAATTCAGCAGGTTAGAGACTTCTTTCCACAACTAAACACACCAAAACTTAAGCGTTAGAATATACTATAAATGTGTTACTAATAAACCCTAATTAGGTGTGGTAAAGTCACAAAAGGTGGTGGTGGGATATGTCTCACCTCCCATTGAAATAATCTATTTTCTCCATGATGGTTTCCTATTGAATTTCAATGCATTGAATTGACTTTGAAAGTATCAAATTCCAATAATTTAATATGAGGGATTTGCTATTGTTCCTCGAACACTCTCCTCCATCTCCACATCATGTCATTGCTGTGCCTCGGTCACAAAATCAAATAAAATAATAATTAGTAAACTTATCAAGAAATATTGATAAGAAAGTATCATCAAAATAAGCGTGAAAAGCTTACTTACTTTAAAGTGATTTGCGCTTCTGTGGAGAATAGATCAACCGATGCAGTAGATATATATTTAGCATGTCACCCTCAGGATACTACAGTCTTATAATAACACTTTATGAATCTACACTACTCATAGAGTCACCTAACTCAAAACGTCCTTCTTTACCCAAAAATATTTTGAAAATAGAGTACGGTAAGAAAATAGAATAATGTGGAGGAACTCTCTTATTTAAGCAAATAGACATGTCATATTTATAGGACTCATGGTCTTGTAACTCCCATTTATAGGTTAATGATAGAAATAAATTGGGTACATTATTTCATAATATTTGATTATCAAAATATTATTAAATAATATGTCTTTAAATAGGACAATTAACCTACAATATATTATTGGTTAGTTTGACCAAATTTTTAATGAGACAATATATTTAATTTATAAAATATATTATTTTATTTTTTATTAAAATATTTAAGTTCCCACATTTGCTAGTGGGTGTATTTCTTGAGGCAAAAAGTGGGTATGAAAACATTATGCATCTATACTTGTATTTATTGTTATGTGGTCCAAAAATCAAAACTCATGTCATGCACTAATTGATTTTCGTAGTCCCCTTTGCCTGTTACCTGGTTCACACGTTTGAAGATGACTTTACTTTGAAAATTGAGAGGCATTTTTTTCTTCTTCTTCTTCTTCTTCTTTATAAGTTTCTTGGACGTAGGTGTGGTGTGATTTGGGGAAAATGACTATTCAATTTTGATTTCAAAATCAACTTTTTGTTCAATATTCTACTAAATTTGAACATTCTCACTAGCTTTCCAAAGTTCGATGGAAAGTCAAAAAGATTCAGGCGGTTTCTTTAGACATTTTCTGCACCCCCTACTTTCTGCACCCCCTACTTTCTGCACCCCCTACTTTGTTTTGAATTCGCCAGTTGGCCTCCTTTAATGTGGTGTAGTACACCATAAGATTATAGGTAAATTTCCATAATTGACGCTAACATTATCCAAATTAATTCCTCTAAAAATAAGATTCTTAAATTTAAAAAGTAAGGATAATCAACTAAATTCTAGTGGTTCATGATTTGAAAAGCTGAGGTTTCATTACTTTGAGACTGTGGGTTTGACTCCAGCTAACATTACAAGATTTTTTCAGATTTTCTTAGGTTTGGTATTGTTTTTAAGTTAAAGATATTTGTACTGTATACAAATTATATGCTGCCTTTTACTCTATATTAAAAATAAAAAGTTCCATCTCAAGGACAGTTCATATATAATTTTGTAAGATTAAAATTTTACCATCTGTCCTGCAAGAAATATATATATATATATATATATATATATATCAGTTTGGAATAGAAATTAAAAAAATGCAGAATTGCCGAATTGCTGCCACCTTATTAGGGTGGAAATGCTCAATAGGGGACCAAATAAAAGTCTACCTTACAGCAGTAGTTTTGAAGAAGGAAAAAGCTGGAAAAGGAAAAGGCAAAATAGCAAATGGGAGTTTCCACTTTCCATGTAATAAGCGTAAATGGAGCAATTGGCGGCAAAATTTTTTGAAGAAGATGGTGCTTTTGTGGACAGACAGGTTGGGACCCATATGCCCATTTTCTTTTACTGCTGTACCTTGGTTTGAAGAAATTAGAAGCCCGGGCGAAATCGAACAAAAGTAGAATTTGATTGAATTTTGAATTTGTTACTAAAAATTAAATTAAATTGATCTTACAAAGTTTGAGTTTTGTGTTTTTTTTTTTAACCTTTACTTGAAAGTCGGGTTTCAATTAATTTGAAATTAAGTTGCATTAGATTTAATAAGAGAAAAGTTCTTTCAAAACTTGTTTTTCTATTCATAAAACTTAAATTCGACACCTTAATTTCAATCAAACTAATAGATGATTGGTATAATTTGAGTTTTGGTTGTTATGTATAAAAATTGAAATATTAATGATTAAGGTGAGTATAATTGAAATTTTTAACCCAAAAAATTCTTATATAATTTTTTAATAGTTTTTAGATTTTTTATGTTTTTCTCACCACTTTTCACCAAATTATTTATTTAATTGGATAATCTTTTTTTAATAATTAAAATTAAAAAATATTACTAATTAAGAAGTTTAAAACAATATTGAAAATATAGAAATAATTTTTTGGTTAAAACTAAAACTAGTTTGAATATTTATTCTCAAAAAATTAATTAAAATCGATCAAATCCATTTTTTCCAATTTGGCTAATAGTTTTTAAAATGAAAAAAAGTACATATTAGTCTCAACTCCCAAAATAATTAAATTAAAGTTCTAATATTAAATTAT